TATTCGAGGATACCCATCTACTAGGGCAGCTAGCTAATCCCTATTACAGACACTTGCTTAGACGTATTTCATATTTGTTCAACACCCACAGAGCCTACACAGAGTTTATACTGCAACTCAGCTGAGTAACTTTAGTTACAGTTTCTGGGAAAGAAGAATGTTATCTAGCATGATCAGCAAAATCTGTAGAAGGCCAACAGACTTGTGACTTCATGCTAGCACAGCCATCAATGCCCCTCAAGGGTTCTGTCTATCCAACTTCACTTACAAGGCTTGGGTCAACCTGTGGTATGGTTTTTCAGGCACTTTACAGAGGTGCCGCAGGCTGGAATTGCCTCCTCCAGACTGATAACATCCAGAAGTTATGTTCCTGACAAATCAACCATGATGAGATTCAAACCTGGGTTTCATGGTCAGAAATCAAAATTTCTATCCACTTGTCTACATGCCCATATCATTTTGGATGTGGAAAAGGAATAAACACAACTCTATCAGTAAATAATGGAAATGAATACAGTGTATCAAACAGAAAGATGAGGAAAGGTGTTACATATAAAAATTCAAATTTGTTTTGCTATATTTTTCATCATTTTTAGTTAGACTGAAGATGGTAATGGTAATATTAGCCATTTCCTTATAAGTAAACATTTGATATTCATCCCCTAAGCAGTCAGTATTACGTTTGGTGGAAATTTATAAAATTTTTCTCTTATAACCTGTTTCAAGAAAATATGTTTAAGTCCAGTAACTGTTATTGTTCTTACCAGTATTAAAGGTGGTTTCCTTCCCAACCTTTTATTTGAAGTAGTGTGGAATATCAACATCATGATTATGGTATTATTTTCTCTTCAAGTTCCCTATGCCTTCCATTTTAGTTGTTGCTGTTGTTGAAAGTTCTCAAGAGAAGTGGTTTCTGCTAACTGGTACAGTTCTTTGTGATTCTGTAGCACCATTCCAAGAATTTTGAAGAATGATGGTCCTTCATAAGACCCACAGGCTTCATTAACTCAAAGCCACTTTTAGCCATTAATCTGGGAAAGTAGTTGTACATAACTGACAGTTTAGATATTTCTGAATAACTTATGGTGCCATGCTTGGCATCTATATGAAAGTTTTGATCTGATAAGTTTATTTGAGAACATGACTCAAATTTTTCAGTGAAGGCTTTTGGTTTTGTAGCAATTTGCAGTGTTGTGAAAAACTATCTCAAGCACAAACCTATTCTATATTCAGTTTCCTTATATCCTATACTAAATTTCTTATAACTAATCCATATGCCAAGATATTTGACGTGTTTATCATTTACTAATTCCACATCCTGAATTTTTATGACAGATATAATGGTAGGTGCCATCACTGCTTATATTCAGATTCCAGATCATAGTTTCTATTTTGGTAAGGTTTATATTGAGTGCTGTTTCTTGGAACACTTGATAGAGGATGTTGATTTTTTTTTTGTTTGAGATCATTCTTATCGTAACTATGAATACCACTGTCAAGTAACCCGCATTGCTCGCCAAAAATACTATAAAAGACTCCACATGATATTCTAACCATCAACAGGGTTAGTTTGATGTATTTGCAGGTAATTATTGAACAGTGAAAAGAGCAGAACTGGAAAGTATGATTTAGAGTCACTTTCAGGAAATGTGGATGGAAATAAAGTGGAATGAAGAGGAATTTTCAAAAGAAAACTGATTGCCAAAATCAATTTTTTTTTCTTCTGCAGGAAATTTTTGCTTGTGTCAGAAAGGTCAAAAGGATAAAGAAAGAAATGGTCAGGTCAGCTGGTTAAAAAAACAAAAACAAAAAAAAAACAAAAAGCAACTAAGCTGCTTAGGGTGGGAGATGTTCCATTTATCTGAAGGACCAACAGAACTAAAGATTTCCTCAAAGATTAACTTGATTGTTCAATTATTTGGTATTTGTCTGATCCATTCAAAAGGTTAACATTGAAACAAGGAATGGATTCAGTGAAAAAACATGGCAAAGCAGAAACTAGAAAGAATAAGTTTATTACTTTATTTATTATTTTATCAAGACTCAAAGATAGACCAAAATACAGAAATATTTAGAAATAATGATGCTCCTATTCTATAAGAGTAAGTGTAAGTGTAACAACTATTATAGGACAAAGTACAAAAATATATAGCTTACTATGGAAACAGATGCCAAATTCAATAAATTCTTTCAACATCCTTATCTTTGTTGTTTTGATCACTATATTTTAGTGGAATTGTGAACAATCTCCTTGTGTAAGTATTCAATAAGTAGGTTTTCCTTGAAGTGAAGATTAGGAAAACTGCATTGCACCAGTTTTTCAAATAAGAAAAAATTGTATTTGAAATTCTGATGTTAGTACTGGGACCCCCAAAGTGGCCCTAATAATTTATACCAAGCTAAGCAGATCCCAAGTATATATTATAGCCAGTAATTCTAGTCAAGTAATAAAAAATTCACTTGCCATCATAAATTTCTTATTTAACCTTTTGCACTTCTCCTGAAGATTGTTACCTCTTTCACTTTATGTGATGGCCACTCAACTGTAACAACATTGTTCTTGATTTCAGTTAAAGTTGGTTTTACTGTTGTCATAGTAGGACATGACAACTACAAAATCCAAACATACTACTGTTTGCCTATTACTATCTATGAATAAAGCAGCTGGATATCATCCATATTCACACACATACTGTCTGTAACAGCAAAATTGTCCAATTTGTGTAACAGAATGTGATAATTGTCCATTTCACAAAATGTTTAATATCTAAAAAGCCACTAAACTCATTTAGCTTCTTTTTCCCAGGTTTTCAGATAAGATATTTAGCCATCTTGACACCATTTATCATAAGAGTCACTGAAAAACCCTTTGACTTATTCAGCTAGAAAGAGAACAGGTTAAAATCATTTTGTGCCAGCCCCACTGTCTTCTCAACTGAGCAATGGTGAGAGGAAAAAGATCATTCAGGCCTTCAGTTATGGTACCAACATTCATACTCTGGCTTCCATCTTCAAAGCCCATTCAAGAACCATCAAGAGAATGGTGAATAAGTTTAAAAAAGAGGGAACAGTAGAGAGGAAAACTGAATCAGGAGGTCACAACAGGAAGAGGGATCATCATTTCAACATAGATCTAAAGGGATCAATTAGAAAAGATCCAACTCATTCCATAAAACGTTCAGCTTTCATAGTACTGTAATTCCCTTTGTATAAAAAGCCTTCATCCATAATAAGCACCCCTAAAATTGTGCTGAATATTAAACCCTAGAAATTGTACCGCTCCAATTTCATTACAGACAGCATTTCCTCCTCTTATTCAAGTTTTAATTGAAGATATTTATCAAAATTTCCAGTCATCACGATTCTAAAAGGAAACGGAAATACCAATATTGTGCCTACTGCAGACACATTAACCTATTTTTGTTCAATAAAATATGCAATCTACCAGATCTGTATGTAGTTTTTCACAAAAAATAGCTTTAAACATAGAATAATATTATTCTAATTTAGTTTTATGATAATTCTTATTTTTATTTGTAAGTATTGTTAGGTACATATGATTGTATTTAACATCCTTATGGGGTCGCAATCACAGAATATTAGTATCAAATTGTCATGTTTGTGGTGAGTAGTCATTTTGCAACTGAAATTGACCAATGAAACAGCAATTTTTAAAGATTTTTTTGTAGCTGTACATAATATGCACCCCTAATTTTGCTTATTATTTTTTAGAAAAATGTGTATTATACATGGGGAATTATGGTAATTGTCCTGATGAGCTTTCCTCTTTGGTACCTAGACTTTATGAATTTAAGTGTATTACTAGAATGGCAGTTAGGTTTCATCATTTTACTGTTGAAATTGTTAAATTTAACCCTAAATTCTATTTTAATAGTTTCTTCTTCAACATTTTTCTCCTATAGAATTCTCTTTCTCTTTCAGCTTCTTGTTTTACTGTCAACTACAATAATCAAAAATTTAAATGCAATATCGATTATCATCTCCTGTCTCCTTGAATCCTATTGTCCTTTTTCCTTATTGACATGTTCTCAGATCCCTTCAGTCTTAGTAACCTCTTAGGTCTTAGTGGCTTTATCACCTTGCTTGGATTGAAATGATAGAAAAAAAAAGAGAGCAAAATTCAAGACAGGGATGTAACAATGTCATCTTATCCTGTTGTATCCTGCTGGCACTCACACATTTTTAAAAACAACTGGAAGAAAAAGCTTAACCAGTGATCATTGTAAAACTGCTTCCGGATATAAAAAGCATAAAAAAATATCACTCTGCGGACCAGATGACTAGGATAAATGTGTAGTATCTGTTCCAACAGCTGACAGCCAGCCCCGTAGCATCAGTAGCTGTTCCATCATCATCCACAGATCCAGCTTGCCATCTGCTTTGGCTCCAGCCATCTCCAGCTCCGACTGCTACAACCATCCTCACCAGCAGCAATGATATGGATGGCCTCATATTGTCATTTTCTATCTACTCTTTTCAGGACAACACTCTTAACAGACTACAAAATTGTCCTTTTCTGGACAATGCTTTTCACGGACTACAAATCTGTCCTTTTCAGAACAAGGCAGATTCTAGATGCCATAAAGCAAGAGCAAATTAATAATTACTCTAATTCCCAAGAAACTGAAGACACCACACCTGTCCATCAAGCACTGGTCCACAGTATCCCTGCAAGTACTTAGAATTATTGCTCCAGATCCTCAGATGAGATAAACACCTGTTTGCAGCTTAGAGCCAAAGTAGATTCTTCATTGTTTTCAGTCAAATATGATCAGCTATGTATGATGTCATAGTCTCTACATGGGTTAAATGCTTTTTCCTTTCATGTGACCAATAGACTGAATCAATCAATTTTTTCAGGTGAAAAAAGATGAACAAACACCTCCTGGTGGTAAACCAATCAAACAAGGAAAGTTAAGCAAACAGAATAATATGAAGTTGATATAAAGGCAAAGATTGCAAGAGAAAATGAAATTTACCATGCTGTGATCTACACCACTGGTCAGAGTGTGACGACGTCCATCCCAGCGCCGAGAAGAATGCTTAAGTTCACTGGACTTTTTCCCTCCATATTCCTCTTGATTTCTTCTTTGTTGAAAATTTTCAATGTTTACTGAAAAGTAAAAGTAAATATAAATGATGTGCTTCTCATCATCATGCTAGTAAATTATAAATGATATATTTCAGACAGTAATGCTTGCATTTATTTGTTTTCTTAATCACTAATGATATATTTACATTATACAGATAATAGTCCTATTTTATCAGTAACAATTAATTCCTAATCATTGTCAATCCCTTTAGTTTTAATAAATTAAATACAGACTGTGCAGAAACTTGGTAAAACAAATTTTACATTAAAAAAGGGGGAAATTCAGGTCCCTGATTTCTTTAGAAACAGTTAATTTGTTTGAATAAATAAATAAATAGACTAAAGCTAAGCCTAGGAATTGTGGAGTAGTAGTAAAGTCAGTAGACAGAAATAAGAAAAGCCAAAACCTTTGTTCAAATGGAATAAACACTATAATACAATTGTGATGATTATTATATTCTTACCCTACCAATAAAATTTACTATTTCAGTTTGTATCTAATTGTTAATAGAATTGAAAGTGTTGACCTATTTTTAACTAAATCCTACCTGTGATCACATGATTAAATAACTAGTACATTAAAAAAAATAATACCTGTTTGGAAACTAGTCAGTACCAAATAATTAAATTTAAAGAAAATTAAAAAAAAAGTCATAATTCATAAAAAAGGAATCTATGGAGGAGTGTTGACTGCCTACAGGGACATCGCATTAAAAGAAAAAAAAATTTGAAAATGAACTGTTGATCCTGAAAGGTTGGCAAGTGACCTATTTGCCACCCTTCCCAGATAACCAAGGCAAAAAACAGCCTCCCTCTGATAATAGTGTGTTGGAGAACTGAATGAAAAAGCAAATAAAGAAAAAAATGACTTACCACTGACACAGAGACTTTGCACATTCATTGAATGTAAAGAAATTCAGAGAAAAAAAAAATGGAAAGATTTAAGAATATTACATTTTCACAAATACAAGATTTTGCTGGTAACATGCAAATTTCCAACAATCAAAAAGAATATATATTTGTTTACTAAAATAAATAACTACTACATTAAAAAAAAGTACCTGTTTGGAAATTAGTTAATAATTAAATTTAAAGAAAATCTAAAATAAAGTCATAATTCATGGTCGGTCCATGAATTATAGCAGATATATAAAGAAAATAAAGAAAACTTTGGAATGAAATTAAAATAATAAATAAAAAGTGTACAAGGGGAAGAAGGTGGGAAATAAATTTCTTGAAAGAAATATACTATAAGTATATAGAGTGTAGATATAAGTATACAATGCAGTATTGAGAAGACTAAGAACGGCAGTAACAATATTCAAAGATTGTATTTTGCTCCTTAAATAAAAAAAAAAAGAATAAGGTCCACAAGGATATTTCTGGAAGATTCGAAAGTCTTTTAACACTAGCAGTCATTGGTAATTAAAATTTTCAATGACATGAGATAAAATACCAATTAATAAAATCAACACGGCTGATGCTAACCTCCAGGAGACTGACACATTGTGCCTTCTCAGGCTAATGTACTCTGCTGACATGAAGTGGAAAGATTATATTGAATATTGAATATTGCTAGACCTGTTGCTAGGAAAGTTGGTTCACTGTGTTGTGCCAGACAATTATTCTCTCCAGAATCTATCTTATAAATATATAAGCCTACCATTCGTCCATGCTTAGAATATTGATGCCATATATGGTCTAGTGTCCCAAATATATATTTAGAGATTATTGATAAAATCCCAAGAATCTGCAATGTTATAGGTCCTGATCTGGCATCCTGGTTTTAGTCACTTTCTGATTGCCATAACATAGCTTCACTGTGCCTTTTCTATAAATACATTCATGGTAATTCTTTTGATAAACTTTTCTCTATGTTGTGTAGACTTTATGAATTTAAATGCAGTGAGATTGGCTGCAAGGTCTTATCATTTTATAGTTGAAACAGCTAACAATTTCTTCTCTCACACTTCTCACTTGTGAAACTCTATTCTGGCTTCTTGCTTTCCAGCCAACATTGATCTTCAAAAATTTAAATGGAATGTCAGTCATTATCTACTATCTTCTTGATTCCTCTTTTATTGTTCTCTCTCCTTAATGTTTTTCTTTTTCTCAGTCTCTCACATTCAGTAACCCCTTGTGTCTTAGTGCCTTGCTTGGGATGAAATGATTAAAAAAAATTAAACTAAATGTTCATTTATCTTTACCTCTTCTGAGTTTTGCAGATACAGTATCCACTCATCAACTATAAAGTAGATACAATCTTTGTGAAATTCAGAATAGGGAGAGAAAAATGAACATTTAATTTGATTTGTTGCTAAGAGATTGATGCAGAGAGGAATATGTTCTTTTTTTTTTAAAAGATGCAGATTTTAAGGCTTCTCAATGAAGCAGCAATAATCAATTAGTTACCAATTTTTCAGGTTGGGAGTCAAGCAAAATGATATATTTGGAATTTATATTATTGGCAACCCTGTTAAACACAATACCAGCAAAAAGTCTTTTTGGCTAACTTGGATATTCATGCCTGCAAAAAACAAAGTATCAAAAGGATGTTTTTTTTCCCTTGACACTGCTATTATTTTAACTACCTTCACTCCTCAGCAATGTTTATTGTTTTAAAATGTGATAATTGGAATTATAATAAAGCCTAGACATATGATGAAAGTGAATTTATACATTTATCCTTGAATTTGGAATGCCACAAATTATACTAATATTGATTATAAAAGAGTTGAATGCACACGATTGACCAATGACAATCACACAACACAAAAGTAAAAATACCAGAATTTCTTTCTACTTTTTCTCCACATCTCATTAAATTGATAAACGTTTTGTTGAATTCCAATCCATATTCAATCCAAACTCACATTTTTTGTTCTTCAGAATTTGCAATAAAAATATTAAACACAATTTATTTATTAGCTTGTTTATTTACAATATTTTATATTTACAACTTTCTAAAATCTAATACATAAAACTAATGAAATATTTATCTTTTATAATGCAATAAATATGAAAACAATTTTCTATTCATAAATTTTTAAACATTTACTAGATTATAAAAATGAGTAACAAAAATAAGGAAATCCTGATTATTTTAAAAAGTTTGAATCAACTGACAACCAATGTTTTGCCAACCATTCTTATATTCATTCATATTCCCAAACAATCTTATAACTAAACAGTGTTTATTATTTTTGTTTCTGATACTAGAAAGTTATGTTCAACTGAGAAGTACTGTATCAGACACTGAATACAAAATAACTTGTGTCATAGACTGTATACAAAATAACTCAGCATTAGAAACCAGCATCCCTAATAACTGACTGAAAAAAAAAATGCTTTCACTAACTAATCTGTACCCAAAACTATCACTAATCCACAAATAACGTCAAGCTATACCCAAAACAACTACAATTCAAAACCTTTATCTGGCCCTAAATAACCTTTACCCTAATATGCATGTCAGGATTATTTAGGGACAGATAAAGGATTTGAATTGTAGTTGTTTTAAATATAGCTTGATATTATATGTGGATTATTGATCTCTTGGAAACAACATCCAACTAGATCACAGCTGTATGGACCCATCCCTGGTATCTCTATAATCATACACGAGTGCAAAATATGCTTTGCGGGACACTGTTGGTGAGCAAAACAAGAATTTGCATGTAATCTACTGCACTAAACACCTAGATGTGGAGCAAAACAGATTAGTCACTCAGCAACCACCTACACTGACTGGCTATGTTATGACACAGAGTTCCACCCTAATGCCCTTCTGACCTTGATGCAAGATTGTAATGGCTAGCATGACAGACTCGTGAATGTCCGAGTTACCTTAACTGAATAAATAAAAAATAATAAATATAGTTATTGAAGAGCCATTAAGCACAAATCAAACCTTCAAGGCACAGCTCTTGATATTTCACATATATATCCTTGTATTGCTTCACTTTTCAAAGGTCTGATGACTCTGAGAATCAGAGCCATCAGACCTGTCATATGCACCTTAATTTCATTCACAACATTTCAACAGTGATTTTAATTTTGAGGAAAATCATAAAAAAAGACATGAAGTATCAGTTTATTTGGTCATTGTGAAAGCTATGGTCACTCAGTACATAAGCTCACTTAATGTTGTCCTAATGCTGACTGAGTAACCCCATGAGAAAGTGTGCACACTCATGTATGTGCAGTAAGTATCCTTGATCAGTTGCTAACTTAAATTAAGGCTACAAAATAGTTCTTAAGATATTCACAATAGGTGAAGTTCCAGACAAACATTATACAGGGTGAGATGGATAAATTTTCATCTAAATTATACCAAAATGAAAATAACACTGACATCTCATTTTAATAGACATATTTACCAAAATTACATGAAAATATCTTGAAATACTAAAGAGTAAATTGATTCAATAAAATTGCCATTGCTTCAACCACAGCCCCCAGATGACTTTGGAATCTCCTGCAACTCTTCTGGACAGACAGTATCCTTGTTTAAGTTGGTGAATGATGCCATAATCCTTGCCTTCAGTTCATCTTTGGTATTACAAGGAGTTTTGTTGGTCTCTCACTCAACTGAACCCCCATATATAATAATCAAGTGGGTTACAGTCTGGAGAGTTAGGTGACCAAATGTAAGGGATGATGTGATCTCAGAAATTGTCAGACAGCCTTGACTGGGGTGTCCTGGTTGTGTGGCATGGTTAAAAGTCCTGTTGCCAGATATAGGGTTTTCCAGCAGCCACCCTCTTGACCAAGGACAGCACTACCTCAAGGCACTTGATGTAGGCTGTTGTGTTGTAGCATTGAGTCTGAAGCTCCTTTGGAAGATAAATGGAGGCATAATGTCACCACCACTAGTGATCACTCCAAACA